GCTCACGAGGGGGATCGGGCATGGCCCGGGCTGCCCTGGCTCGGCGGAGTCCCCCTGCCTGGCACCATGTGTCAGTACGTCTGGGGCGCCAGGATGAAGAGCCGGTCCTCCTCCTTGCGGATCCACTTCATGAGCTTGTTGACGGCGCTGATGGCGCCAGCCTTGGTGCCCAGGGGACTGTAGCAGATGTAGAGCTCGAAGGCGCTGGTCACCTGGGCAGGGGAGAAGGGCACAAGTTGGGCCCAGGTCTGTGCCCTACATGGGCCTGGCACTGCCCCTTCCCCCCCACAGGCTATGGGGATGGAGACAGGGGGCACCCTGAGCAGGTGGCACCAAGTGCCTGTCTTGCTCTATTCGCCACCCCTTGGGGCAACAAGGGTGGCCCCGGTGCAGGTTTCCCGTCACTTCGGGTGGTTCGCAGCAGCAGTGTCCCAGCCCTCGGGGCCACGGGTCCCACCTCCCACTCCAGCATGCCCTGGCACAGGGACCTGACCCTCAAAGGGCCACACAGACTGGGGAGGCCACCCCAGGGACCAGAGTGCGGGCGCCACGTCCTGTCCTCCTGTTCCGCCGCGCAGGACCAGAGCGGACGGCATCACCCGAACCCCATCCCACGTCTGCTTCCGCAGGAGGCCCGCGGACCTCCCGCTGGCGCCGCACGGTGCCCGCCGCGTGGCCGGGGACCGCTGGCATGGCCCTGGGGATGGCCCTTACCCAAGCCAGGAGGTTTTCGCGGGGGCCTGTGAAGTAGATGTTCTTCAGGGGGCGCGAGGAGTTGTGAGCGCGGCTGTGGAGGTACTGGTAGAGCCCCAAGAGCCTCTCCTTCTCCTCCTCCCGCACGTAGGGCGCCTCGATCTCGGGGCTGCGGGAACACGGCGCCCTGTTAGCACCCCCAGAGATGGGCACCGGCGGAGGGGGTTCACCCTGCGCCCCGAGGCCTCGGCAGGCGCGGGGTGGCCTTCCCTGGCCGGCGCTGTGCCGGCCGCCTCACCTGGTGAAGAGTCCCGAGCTCTTGGACTTGTAGATGAAGTGGCGGAGGTCAGGGATGCCCACCTGGGCCACGCTGTAGAAAGGGGTGCGCAGGGCCTCCTGCAGAGCGTGCTGGACCCCCCGGCGCCGCAGGCGCTCCTGGAAGCGCCGCTTGCAGTCGGAGACGGTGAAGAAGTCCTCACGGTCGGTGGAGACCAGCAGGAGGCACAGGTCCATCTCCTGCTCCAGGTAGGAGATGTGCGCATGGAAGAAGCCGCTGGAGTTGAACTTGGGGAGGCAGATGGGAGTCCAGGCTTCACCCTCCCGGAAGGAGGAGGAGGAGCTGATGAGGTTGAAGAGGAGATGGAGGTCGATGGGGTGGAGGAACTGATCCTTCTTCCTGACGAGGGACACCAGCTGGTTCCCCGACAGGAGGATGGAGAAGACGAGGCTCTTGGCCTTGGCCTGCTGGAGGCTGGTGCTCACAGCGTCCCTGACGCTGGCGGCCAGCGGCAGGCAGCGCACGGCGCCCATCAGGAAGCTGGGGTCGTGGGCCATGAGATCGAGGAGGTTGTCGGTGATGCGCTCGGAGCCGGCGAGCAACCTGCGCAGGTCGTAGTTCTGCTTCTGCTGGAAGATGTGGTTGAGCTGGGTCCAGGTGAGCAGGCTCAGGATCTGGTAGTAGATGTAGAGCAGCTCGTGGGCGATCTCCTGCTCCGACTGCCGGGTCCGCGCCACCGCCACCAGCACCAGCGGGCTCCTCCGCACGAAGACCACCTTGTAGCCATCTGCTTGGGGGGATGTGGGGAAGAGACCTGTAATCTGTGCCCCCGCTGCAGCCCGGCTCTCGCCTCCTCCCAGCCGCCTCTCTGCCCCAGGTGCATCCAACACGGGTGACCTGGCAGCGGGCCAGGCTCCCCGGGCCGCCC